CATTTAATGAGACATGTTAGTTGCGCATTACTTTTGATTGAACGTGTGATGTCACAATGCTTATCTATTAAAATGAGGAGTGCGTGCGCACTGGCCCATCAATTATCTAGATAATTTGTAGCCTGTCTATCACCGTACATGTACATAAAGTGAATTATCTAGATAATTCAAGTTGGATCGGGAAAATCGTGTCTGACACCGCCTATTGAAAGATACATTTATAAAGAAGATCACAGCAAGGAAGGCTCACAACAAAAAAGTCCTAATAACCAAAAAGGCCCACATTCTGCTAAAATTTTATCCCGACAGGCTGACACTCGGTGTAAGCTTCTCTAATCTCTACAAAATCAGGTTTTTAAAAAGGAAATTAGTCGGAGGTCGTAGTCTTTCTTATGTTGAACATGCATGATCTTAGTTAGACCCTGGGTCAGGTTTAACCAAATCAGTAGAAGATGACCAAAGTGTTTTTACACAAATATGTCCTCACCCATCCTTGCCAAACAGTGGTAAACCAAGTACATTAGTGCCTACTGCATGTACATGTGTAGCTATATTGCATCTCTAAGCTTAATGTATTCTGGTATAAATGGAATTGCATTTTGAGGGGGATGCATTATTCAACACAAATGCTCGGTAAATGTTCATACATGTACCGGTACACTGCGTTTTGTAGAATGGCCAGTTAAATGCCTGTGCAAATTATCTTGCACGCATTGAAACTTGTGTCCCACTTGAAAATTGGCGCAAGAGGTACATACATACAATTTTTTGTACATGTACCGTGATTTTCTGCCATCAATGGGAGTTTAAAGTTTTCTTGAGTGAAACTATGAAGCAAGGCAGCATCTCTTTTAAGAAACATGTACCGTATATGTAGAGAACGAGAGAACGAGAGAGAGAGAGAGAGAAAGAGAGAGAGAAAGAGAGAGAGAGAGGGGAGAGATGGGAGGGAGGGAGAGAAAGAGACAGAGAGAAAGAGAGAGAGAGAGGGGAGAGATGGGAGGGAGGGAGAGAAAGAGACAGAGAGAAAGAGAGAGAGAGAGGGGAGAGATGGGAGGGAGGGAGAGAAAGAGACAGAGAGACAGAGAGACAGAGAGAGGGGGGAGATGGGAGAGAGAGAGAGAAAAAAAAATACAGGCATTTGTTGTTTGCAGAGCTACAAATGTATACAGACTACAAAGAAAATACATTATTCAATACAGGCAGTCGATAAAAGACATCTGTTGGGAGGCCATCCTATTCATAAGTCTAGATAGAATTGAAATGATTCTAAGGTTACACAGACTGTACATGTTTACCATGAGATATGTATCTCAATAACAATAACAAGGTATTGATAGCAGGTGTTTATGAAACAAGACCCAGAACTGTGAGACATCCTAATGATCTACATGTATATTCTTTTTATATTGCATCTTGGACATGTGAACTAAAATAATATAGAGAAATTACTATCCTCCTATATATTTCAAATGGGTCACGGAAATTAACACTGAAGTTATTGCTGGATGTCGCTGAGACTCTGGAGTGCCTTGCGATCACCAATCTAGTATCTACCACCAGACCAAAAAGAGCTGTCAGTGTACACAAAAGAAAACAGTGATACCTCAGGCTCCCATGTACCGCAACCCGTAGCGTACATGTATGTATCTCTGCAATATTTACCAAAACTCCATCTTCCTCAGAACTGTGAAGACATGGAGTACTTACGGCAGCTACATCCAAGATAGTTTTTATTTGCACCTTAAAATAAACACTAATAACTACCTCAAAGAAAGTTTTACAAGAACCTTCTATGTTGAATTAAATGGACTACTCGTAAGAAAAAGAAGAAGGAGGCGAGTTGGCTCAGTCTGTAAAGCATCTGCCTGTCGAACCGAAGATCCCGGGTTCGAATCCCACGCAGGCGGATGACTGAAGCCTGCATTGTGTGTAGTGCTGTAAGTCAGACGCTATGTTCGTGTTCGGTTCGGTTCGGCAGAGTTCGGCAATTTTCACCCGAACTTGGTTCGGTTCGGGGTTCGGTAATATAATAGCAAGCAGCGTTATAGCCACGCCGGTCGGCACTGGGCTGGCCTGCCGGCCTGCCGGGCCCGACCAGCACGGATGACTTCTGCACACTGCTTCCGACCAGCACGAATTTCACATTAAAAAACTGCTCTAAACGTAATTATTTGTGAAGAAAAATACTACTTACATTCGTATTTCCGTCTTGAATCGTGTTTTATTTTCAATTTTAAAAGAATCATGTTTTCAATTTGTCAATATATGATATTTTTTAAAGATTTTCCGAGACGGTTGTTGTCTAATGTTAGAGTCATGAAAGCTGCCATCTGGAATATAGAGACTCAGGCTCGTCAATAACTGTTTTTTATAAGTTTTTATTTTCAATAGGAAAAATATAAAATCCCTATTTTTCCTAAATAAATAAATACTATACTATAATATATATTTATTTCATTATTTATATTGTAAAATTTGTCCGATATCATTACCATTAAAATATTAATTTTTTTGTTAAATGGGTTTTGGCTGAATTTGTTTTGATCACGCACATGTATTCTTGTTTATGGCTTGAGATCTCGACGTAGCGTGGTCAGGATTTGGGATTTAAATGGCGCCAGTGAAGTCGCGCCCACCACTGGATAGGCATAAATCACAAAGGCGGAAAATGGGAAAAAAGTAAATATAAAATGAGCAATCATGACATGAAAATTAGGTACAAAATGACAAGTTTATTAGCTTGCAAAAAACTTTTATATTTTTCTGCCGAACATCCGAACCAGGCCTTTGCATTCGGTTCGGTTCGGTTCGGTTCGGAAGTGCCATGTTCGGCGAACTCCCGTTCGGTTCGGCGGTTCGGCTACAGCACTAATTGTGTGTTAACGTGCCCCTCCCCTTGTTCATAGACGCAGGCTACATGTATGTTAGGTGGAAAACACTCCATCCCTCGGATAGGATGTTAAATGGAGGCCCTGTGTAGAGAAGAGTCACTACCTTTGCACGTTAAGAACCCACTGCACTATTCGTATTAGAGTAGGGGGAGACCCCGGTGTAGTGGTCCACCTGCACACACCCCAGTAATATAGTACGATAATACTCTGTAAAGATAGGGAGGCCAATGCCCAAATCTAACTTTTTAATTACGAATTTGTTTAAAATAAAACAAAGATTAAAAGAAAGCATTTACTTTCACTAAGAAAACTCACCCATCTGCCGACTCCAGAAGTTCCATAAAATAGGAGATATCCAGCTAGTTCCTATGAGCTTCCTTCTACGCCTGGCCGTACGTAAGAGCCTTGAAACAATCAATTTCATGGTCCCAAAAATTACGTCGAGAATTAGACAGGCCCCAGGGAATGGGCGTGTCATCATGGTCATTGCCCGGACAACAAGTTCAAAACTTCGCGCGAAAGTACATTCATCATCACCGGCTAGCCTTGAATTAGTCGCACACACCGACACAGTACTGCAGGCCGTCCAGGTACGGTAATTGCATGCAAGCCGCAATCGAGCCATGCTAGCCATGCCACGGCATGGAGGGTCAAAACATAATGAGAGAAAGCTCGAAAACCACTCATTGTAAATTAAGAAAATTATTGAAATAAATAAATAGGCCTACCTTAGTTTTGATATGTATTCCAATTATTTCCTCATGAGTAAAGATCAATCTGACACTGCAAAATCCAACAGTTGCAGCGATCACAATACGATCGATAAATCCAACTGTTGCAGCGAACACAATACGGAATCAAACATAGTCAATAGGACTGCACGCATTGATAGACGTGTACTGACGGAGATATTTCTCTCCCTCTCTCTCTCTCTCTCTCTCTCACTATTAAACCATATGATGATATCATACACTAAAACACACACGTTCAAATCATGGCATTCATTACACTTCTCAATTGGAGTATAGACTGCTCACGTAGACTTTTTTTTTTTACTGAAATGTCTTTTTTTACACTTCTCATACATTACTGCACGACACTGACCTAGTGCTGAGAATAAGGTACTATGTGTGAGACTACGTCAAATTTGTTTTGCGCGCGATGAGACCGGACCTCATACATATTCATATTATGATGTCGCAAGACTTCTATTTTGGGCTGGAACAATGACGTCTCTGTTCACAGTTTTGCTCCCCAATTTGAGATGGCTCTATGGGGCTCAAACCAACGCAAGATTGACAAAAACATCGTACTCTATCTACCTTTGATTGTGCAGTTTGTAAAAATCTGCAATTAAAAAGATATGATCGTTTTTCGTTATATTTTCTAGTTGTTAAAAGTGACATTTGTGCACAACTGATATGTTAATCTCTATCAAAAGTTCTTTGATATTAAATTGATTCCATATTTTTAGGCGCTACCTTCAGTCATTGAGAAGGATTTTAGTGAGCTAACCTCATCGCCCTCTAGGACCCGTCTAGTTTCTCTTGTCCGTCCGTTATTTTCGTCTGCTAGCGCAATTATTGGATCAAAATACATCAAAATTTGCAAGATCGTCAACAAATGGTGAAAGACCATTACAGATCCGTGATTATAGGTATGTGTAATTGTGTATTTGTTATACATTTTATTCCATAGATATTTGTTTTCTTTTTTTTCCCCTTTTTTTTTCTTCTGGTAATTTTCTGACTTGGACGACGAGCGCACAAATCGTAGGCGTAGAAGCCTTACGCCCGGGCATTGGCCTCCCTAGTAAAGAGGTATGTACTCAAATGGAAGAAGAAGAGTTGTCATCAAGCACTTACAATACATGTACATGACGTATGCAAATCATTTTCGCACACTTCAATTTTTTTTTCGAATCAGCACTAGATCTAGTCTAGATCTAGATCTACAACTTTAGTTTTACTTAGAAAAGAATGCTTCACTTCAGATTCTTTTCTTTTTTTCCAAAAAAAATCTTAAAATCTTAAACTTGACAAGATTTTTAAAAATCATTCACCTTGACCTTAAGGCTACTTAAAAAATACCTATTTTGGTACTCACCATTTGTAAACAGTCGAGAACGGCAAAATTATTTCCTTTCCTGGGGCAAATATGTTGAACATCCGCGATGCAAGCTGGATGGTCGGCTATCCTTACAGGCTTCAAGGGAACTGCTTTAGATTTGATCGGTTTTCTATATCCTTTATCTGGAACTTGAGCTTGTGGCTGCTGTGCTTGAGCTAGTGGCTGTTGCGCTTGACCTTGTGGCGGAAGCGCTTGACCTTGTCCTTGTTGGGCAAACCTGTCAAACTGCTGCTGCGGCTGTGCAACAGCAGCACCAACTCTGGGTTGAAAAGCATTCATATTTCCTGCTCGTTGCAACCCATCATTCACTTGCATCTGTTGTTGGTTGTTCAAGCCTTGATTGAGTCCCACCTGCATCTGCCTGTCTTGACCTTGGATTCGTGGCTGCTGCTGCTGAAATTTGTTAGGCCTATAGTTACCTGCTGCTGGCAGCAGGCCGCGGCCGTCGGGGTCGATAGCAGGCCCGGCAGCATCCCTGCCGGTCCGTTCCCGAGCAACTCCATCGAACCGCCCACCAAGTGCACCACGATCATCTCTCACCTTGTCAAAATCATTGTTACCAAATTTACCTGCATCCTTTATGATACCACCGTCACGTCGTCCAAGTCCAAAGACAAATGTGACCTGAAAACAGAGTAAAATAGCAACACATGTTGCCTGCTTGACACGTAGATGAGCCGCCATTTTGTACATGACAAACGTTATGTATATTTGTAACGAGTAGACACGGTGTACGATGCGTTGGTGTCTGGTCAGGTCGCCCCCAAGCCGGTCGCCTCCTATACGCAGTCGCCTCCTATACGCAGTCGCCTCCTAACGTAGTCGCCCCCAAATTGTGTGGTCGAGTCGCCTCCTATACACAGTCGCCCCCTGTACAGTCGCCCCCTACGTACAAAGGCAGTACGCTAGCGCAGCGGTCAGAAGCAGGTCATTTAATATAATGATGTCCACCTTCTTCTAGATAACTATTTTGTGCTAAAGTATAATGTGATAAACGTTTCATTTTATTTTGATGCAACAGAGATTTACATTCAAAGGTTTTACTTTTTATAATTGTACAGTAATATTCTTCTCATTTCGACATTATCAGCCACTGGTTCTCTGTTTCATTCCCTAAACTAAATAAAAGGTATATGTGAGAGGGGGGTAGCCTGTATAGACCATACTGTATTCATTGTTATGATATTTGTCTCTCCTCCTCCAATCACTCCCTTCCGGCTCTGATTTTGTTCTTTAGTTTGTCTCTTTTGGTGTGATTATATCTTTTCGCTAAAGTATAATGTCCGACGTATACCATCAGGAATATGTTATAATAATTAATCTCAAGGAAGGGATGATGCCGGGATACAAGCAAATGGCGGAATAGACAACATTATGGAAGATGAAGATGGACATAGAGAGAGAGAGAGGGAGAGAGAGGGAGAGAGAGAGGGAGAGAGGGGGTGGCGGGAGATAGAAAGTTGGACGTAGTCTGTACTGTATTTATTATTATGATAATTGTCTCACCGACTCCCCCCCCCCCCCCCCAGCTCATATTTTTTCTTTAGTTTTTCTCTTTTTTGTTTGTTTATATCGTTTGGCTTAAGTATAATATCCGACGTATATACCGTCAATATAGCATAATAATTTTTTATTTTTATTTATCAGTTTGAATTAACAGAAATTTACAGTAATATTCTTCTCATTTCGATATTATCAGCCCCTCGTTCTCTATTTCGTTCCCTAAACTAGATATAAGGTATAACATGTGAGAGGGGGGAGGGATAGAAAGTTGGACGTAGCCTGTATACTGTATTCATTGTTATGATATTTGTCTCTCCTCCTCCAATCACTCCCTTCCGGCTCTGATTTTGTTCTTTAGTTTTTTCTCTTTTGGTGTGATTATATCTTTTCGCTAAAGTATGATGTCCGACGTATACTATCAGGAATATGTTATAATAATTAATCTCAAGGAAGGGATGATGCCGGGATACAAGCAAATGGCGGAATAGACAACATTATGGAAGATGAAGATGGACATAGACAGAGAGAGGGAGAGAGGGGGAGAGTGGGTTGGCGTAGTCTGTACTGTATTTATTATTATGATATTTTTCTCTTAATCCTTGTCTGAATTCAGTTTTCCCTCACCGCGCTGACGTTTCATTAAATTATTAGAGAATGGTTTTCAACTCTTAATCCTTGTCTGAATTAAGTCCCCCCCCCCTTCCGCATGAAGCGCGGAAGCTTTGACGTTTCATTAAATTATTAGAGAAAGAACAAAAAAGACGATTCGTTGTACCGACTCTTCATCATTGTTTGAATTATCAAAAATGTTTCTTTGTTATTATTATTATTTCAGCGTTATCCTCCGCGCGCTTTATAATAATGAATGACAAAAACGCCGCGACATAGTGATAAGGTATGTATTTGGAAGAATAATTGCTTTTTATTTGTGCACATATTAAAAGAAAAGTGACATCTATACACAAAATAAACACAAATTATTATACAGGTTAAGGTTGGAACCTACTAGTGCTTTGGAATACTTGAAAAGATGAGCAGATGTTCATGTTGGTCACGCATGGTCGTCCCTTACAATATTCATTAAACAAAATCACGCACTTATATATATATATATATATAATGAATTGAGAGTAAAATTAGATAACGTTTCGTTCATTTGGGTTTACCGCCGAAAGCTTTTATTTCGATCTATTTGCTTCATAATAAACTTATATAAGTCATATCAATTATAGCTCACTTTTAATTCAATGTAGAGACATTCTATTCTATTTCTATTTTTAAACTTTTACAACTATCTCATGACGACACGTTCTAGTATGGGTCTTGTAATTAGTGAACACAAACTATATGGGATTAAAAAGGGATCTGAAAATGCTCTAATTTGCTTGCGTGTACAAATTATACTTGAGAAAAGCTAAGAAAGCCAATCTATTAAATCCTTATCTCTATAGCCTGTGGATTTAAAGTTCCGTCACTAAGCCAGCCAGAACGATTTATTTATTTATTTATTTAAAATGGTTTATTTCATTAAAAAACATTCGCGGCCCGAGAGCCGAATCAGTTTCTTTTACAAAGTATACATCAGTGACAAAGTAAAATTACACATAAAAATTATGCATGGTAGCATAATGGTAGTAAAATTGCAATTCTTTTGTACATAATTGTGCTTCAACGACCTTGGCAAATTGCTTGGTACACTCTGAAAACTGAAATGTTAAATCACCATTTAAAAGGGCCGAGGAGTGACCACTCTTTCAAAATGGTAGATTAACACTTTGAACATGCATGCTGGATCCAACACTATAAAGGTCGAATCTAGCAGGTTAAAAGAAACAATCTGACATTTTAAAAGAGTGGTCACTCCTCGGCCCTTTTAAATTTACATTTAACATTTCAGTTTTTAGAGTGTACATATACAGAAATCTGAATTGTATTACCATATTTGCAATTAAATTATATACTGAACTTATACAATATATGAATAGTGATACACTTTTGATATTCAAAAGAATATGTTTTAGTTGGAAAATGCATAGCCAGATGGGTATGATTACTATGGTTATGGTGTTTTCTTCAATAACAGAAACAAAGACATCAACAGAAACCAAATCCAGGAATTATAAAATCGAATAGATGCTACAATGATTTAAACAAATTATACATTGTAGGCAAAATGCAGAACATTTTGTATTTGGGCCAATTTACTAAAAGGTATACATGTAGAATATGATATTGCATAAAAATAAGATAAGTTTCGCATAAAAAACATGGGTAAAAGTTTGCCATTGTAATATTCGATATAGTGTGCATCATCTTGGGAATTGTTAAAAAGTCAAACAGGATTTTATACAATTAAAACTGATTTAGTTTGAAAAAAAGTAAAATTCTATATTCTAACCCTATAGTAACATTATTAAAAAATGCATTCACATGTCACCCTTTCATTTAAGAACTTATACCAGAGAAAGTGAGAGAGAGAGAGAGAGAGAAAGAAGGAGAGTGAGAATAGGGAGAGAGAGGGGGTGGGAGAGAGATAGGGAGATATAGAGGGAGAGAGAGAGGAGAGAGAGAGAGAGAGAAAGAGAGAGAGAGAGAGGGGGGGGGGACAAAGAGTGAGAGCACTGGCGTACCTATGGGGGGGGGCAGGGGGGCAGAGTGCCCCCCCCCCTGAGGGGCTCCAGGGGAAAAAAGAAAAAGGGGAAAGAAAAGAAAAGAAAGGGAAAGGAAAGAAAAAGAAAAAAGGAAAAGGAAAGAAAAAAGGAAAGAAAGAGAAAAAAGGAAAAAAAGGAAAGAAAAAAGGAAGAAGAAGAGAAAAGGAATAAAAATGGGGGGAAAAATAAAGAACATGGCCGTAAGCACCAGGGGGGGGGGGGCAGTTGACCCCAGATATTTTGAAATCGTACAGTTTTTTTTCCTGAAAATGTAGTGTAGGCCTATACCAAATCCTTCAATTCTACTTTTGAAAATGCAAAAGTACCCTCATGACCAGTTCGGTCGCTCGAACTCCCTTCACTCCTTTTGCTTTTGAGATTCTTCGAAAACTTTTAACGCATCTTTCCCCCTTCCCCCATCAGAAAAATATTCCGCATACGGCCCTGAAAAATTGAAACAAATGAAAATAGGAAAATATAAGTGATATAACAAATTTGAAACTCTTCGCTGGCGCGAACTGCTTGCTAGCCTATTTTGTATTAAATGTTTTCACTTCCTCGTCCCCCTGAAAAAAGAAAAGGATTAGTATTGCCTAGAATACAATTGTGCCTGCCCCGACGGGCCCCGACCTGCAACCATGGCAACAATAACACACAATATATGTACCAAATGTTACTAAAAGAGACTAATTCATTTTTCTCGCTCGCTACACTCGCTCGCGAATAAAATGAATAGACATTGCTTTGGAAACAATTGTGCCCACCCTTGACCTGCAACAATATCATTAAAAATGGAAGAGTTTTTTCGCCCTCTCGCCAAAAAGGAATTGAATCGCGTTAAACGCGATTGCGTCCATCCTGACCTGCACCAATAAAAACAAGTTTATTTATTAATTTCTATTAAAAGAGAATTTTTTTTTTTTGCTTGCTCGCTATGCTCGCTCGCCAAAATGGAATTGACACCGCTAACGTGCCCGCCCCAACCTGCAACAACCAGTAAATAATTATGTACGAAACGTTATTCAAAGAAGTTTTGGTGTGCTCGTGCTCGCCAAAACGGAATTAACATCACCTTAGACATGATTGTGTAAGCCCTGCCCTGCAACAAAAAAATCTGAAATTTATGAACCAATTATCATTACAAAAATTTTGCTCGCTCGCTACGCTCGCTCGCCTAAATAGAAATAACACCGCTTTTAATAATCACGTCCCTGACATGGAACAATTAAACCAAGTTTATATACCATATTTTCCCTATAAAGAGAAGTGATTTTTTTTTTTGCTCGCTCGCTACGCTCGCTCGCCAAAATAGAATTAACACCGCTTTTAATAATCACGTCCCTGACATGGAACAATGAACCCAAGTTTTATGTACCATATTTTCCCTATCAAAGAAAAGTGATTTTTTCTTCGCTCGCTACGCTCGCTAGCTCGTGGAATTATGTGCCCACCACTAACCTGCTACAATATCATTAAAAAGAGAAATGTAGGGGGTTGCCTGCCCGCCAAAATGGGATTGACATTGCCTTAAACACGACTGTGCCCGCCCCCTACCTGCAACAATGAAACAAATTTTATATAGCAAT